GGTGATGATGATGACGACGATGATGCTGAAAATACTGATGATGTTGCTGATGATTGTGATGATGGTGAATACGATGGTGTTGGCGATGATGCCGAGGATTAGCTTGCTGATAGTGACGATGATGCTGCTGCCGATGATAATGATTATGATGATGATAATACTCGTGATTGTGACGACGGTGATGGTGATGGTGGTAGTGATGATGAATGGTGGTGGGCTTAGCGATGACGGAGATTGTGGTGAGGATATGATGGTCATTTCAGGATGAAGATGGGGATTCGGAGGATAAAGAAAAGGATACTGATTAGGAGAAAGGCACTCTGTTCGGCGGAAGGTCGCTTCGCGGAGAAGTTGTGTGGCGGCCGCGGGCGAGCGATGCTCAAGGCGTGGCTGGGGGGATTCCAGGACGCGGGCGTCTGACAGCTTGGCCTCCAGCTTCCTCGACCAGGAGGTGTCTGCCATCTGCGCGTCCCAGGGGCGACCGTGCGCAGACGTGTTAGCGGAAGCGGCGGAAGCGTTCGACAGCCTTGACCGCACGGAGGCCATGGTCGCAATGCGTGACAGGGAGGGCACAGCAGGCCGCCATTGGCGCCTGGCCGAGTCCAATCTCGCTGGCTGGCCAGCGTGGAAGTCACAGGTCGTGGCGGGCGCACGACGGAGGGCGGGGGCCTGAGCCCGGCGCAGCACAGCCTGGCCAACCTGGCCAGGACCGAGGAGGCGGGAGGTGGCGGACGAGCTGGGCGTTGGCCTCGGGCTGCATCCGCCCGAGCAGGCGCTGGTGGCGCACGGGGGCGGGACCGGCGCGGACTGCCTCGACGCCCAGGAGAGGTCGAGCACCTCTGGGCAGGGCTGCTCCTGGACGGGCACTCGGCCTGGAGAAGATGCGTGGCCGCTGCTTCCACGGACGCACAGATTGAGTTCGTTGAGGATTTCCAGGTGCCCGCCGATTCGGACCACGAGATGGCGGGGACACCTGCGGACTCTGATGCTACGATACCAGCAACAGAGGAGGAGCTACAAGTGATGCTCCAGCCGCAGGTTATTGGTAATCATTTATACGGAGAGCCATGCGCCGACGATTTAGTCGACGACGTCCGGGCAAAAGCGGGCTCGCGAGCGCACTGGCGAGGTGGCCAGCGCCTTCCAGGAGACCGCGCGCCGCCACCGTGGACATCTCCAGTACGGGCCCACCAGAACAACGATCCTCGCTGGAGAGCTCGCCGACACGAGGCCCACCCACGGCGTATCCTTCGTGGACGAGTACCGGAGCCTGGGAACCCAGCGCTCGTCGTGGCAGGCCGGGCGAGTACACCTCGCCGCAATGGACCTGGCGGCAGGTGAGGTTGGTTGAGGCATGTTCAGGCGACGGGCCACCAGGGGTTCGCGCAGCACGAGGTCCTCCTCGGTTTCGCTGTCTGCACCTTGCCCAAGAGTGGAGCCGAGCTGTGTGTCCATGCGGAGGGGTTCGGACCCGTTCCCAACCGCGCGAAGTAGCGGTAGGCCTGAGGAGCGCTCGGCCCTCGGCGTCAGCGGGCCGATCCCGCGGGCCCTCCTCCTCCTCCTCCTCCTCCGCCACGCGGGGTGGTATAACCACTTGGTTGTCGACGACAATGCAGGCGCGAGCGATCTGGCTCTACATCCGGGCCTGGGTTGACCCGCGCTACACGCGAGGCAAAGGGGGTCTTGGTCCTTGCCCAGGGCGCGGCGGGGCCATAGACGCAGAACGTCCGCCAGCTGATGGTGCGGTGAGGGGTCCCGGAACCGCCTGGGCCGCAGGCTGGGCAGACCGCAGCGGTCAGGTGCCGCGACCTGGTGAGGGCCGCCGCGCGCGCGCGCGCCCAGGAATTGGCATGGCGGGCCGAACCCGCGCAAAGGGTGGAGGGCTCGGCGGGCAGCGGGGCCACAGCGCCGGACCTGAGCGCGCAGGGGGCCATGCGCGTCGAGGTCCGAGCGTGGACCCGCCTCCGCCTCCAAGGCGCGCTCGTGCGCGACGCCACTGGGGTGGTCGGGCCGTGCCAATTCTGCGGCGACTCTCTCGAGATGGCGGCGGCCACCTCGTGCAGCGCCTTCCGGCCGCAGCGGAGCTGGCGCGGCCTTGGTGCGCGGGCCCCTTACGCTGGGGTATGCGCGCCGGCTGGAGGCAGCCGCAGAGGAGGCCTCGCAACACCCGCGCTATAGCCAGATCGGGGCAGTTGACAGCCGAGCCATGGGCCTTGGGGCCCCTGGGGGCCTGCTCCCCCCCCGCTCCTCTTGCCTTCCCCCGCTCCTGCACCTTCCCCCTCCCCTCCCCTTGTTTCCCCCCCCCCCCCCCCGCCCTTGCCTCTTCCCCTGCCCCCTGGCTCCCTCTTTGTGCGCGGGCCTGGCCCTCCCTACTCTTGGACTGAGGGCTCCGCTCTGCCGGCCCCTGCCTGTGGCCTCAGCTCGGGCCCTTCCTTGGCCCCCTGCCGCCGCCGCCGCCCCGCCTGCCCCCGCCCGCTTGCTTGGCACTTCCGGCCGCTGT